GTGCAGTGGGTTTCTCCATCAATGGGGCTGCAACAGAGAGGACCAAGCAGTGAATGACCAACACGAGAGACACTGTGATCAGGGAAATGTGGCATAACCATCTCAGGAAATCCAGAGGGCCAGAGGTTCTGTACCCTTGGCCTATTGTATATCCCACAGGATCTGGTAATCACCACCACCTCCTCAGAAATGGCACAGAAATCATTGCAATTAACAAGTTATTACACAGAGGCAAACTGTTGAAAGCCACCACCATTTATCTAGAAAAAAGGCAGGGTTAAATGGGTCAGGATATGTACTGAGTTGTGTTAAGGAAGGTCTTCTATTGTGCCTGGATGAATTCAACCCAGTGAAGTACCTGTAGAAATCCTTGTTGTCAGTGGAGCATCGTAGACCCCATTAGGTTTCTCCCCTTGTAACTCCAGTTCATACTCGGTACTGGGTTTCAAATCCACCACATTGACACTCCTCTCTGTCCCTGGTATTCTGATTTCTCTTGGAAGTCCACCGGATTTGGGGTCCTTATACTGAAGGGAAAAGCTGAGGAAGGAACTGGGTGGGGCAGACCAAGTCACATGAAAACTGTTAGGAGAGACGTCAGTCACCAATAGGTCCTTCAGCAGCACTTCAGGGCTTAGGGTGGGAATAAAGCTGGTTTGGGTCTTGGCAGTTGTCGTTGAACCTGGAGCTGAAGGAAGACAGATATGGGGTGAGAGAACCATTTCTGGAAGCGCCAACCACTTTCTCCCCCAATTCTAATCCAGCCAGTGTACTTCTGCACTTCCTAGATTTCAAAATGAGGAACAGAGGACTCCTTGACCACTGTTACCTCCTCTACTGGGGGAATGTGCACTTGCAGGCTATTTGGCAATATAAAAATAGATGATGATGATGAGAGAATGTTTCAGCTACTGAAAGGATTAGCTTATCTCAATAGGTCTTTAGCCTCTGCACCAGGAATGCAATGGAATTTCATTCAAATTTAAGGTTCAGCAAACCTTCCACAGTTTTTTATTTTCACTTTAAAAGCCTAATATTTAAAAAATGATCAAGGTGTTAATGCTGGCATTTTACTTGCCACAATTGTATTCCAACCTTCTTTCATGGTGTGTATGTGAAGTTATTCCGTTTAACTTCTTGACTCCTGAATATATTTATCTTCCTGCTTGAAAGATCTCTTTCAGGCATCTTTGCAAACCTAGCATCTCATGAATACCATCACCTAGCAAAGTTCTGAGTTAAGACAATAATCAAGGTGCAAATTTTAATATTTTTGCACATTGCATTTCAAAGATTCCTGAATCTAACAGCATCTATAATAGGGAGTGCTGGTGAGAGCTTGTCCTAAAGAGTATATAAATTAGTGCAACAATAGGTATTTGCCCATGAATATTTTTTAGGAAAAATCTTCTCAGGGGCCTCAAAAAGTTTCTCAACATCTGCTTTGTACACATTGTTTTGAATACTCCTTGTTCTCAATTGGCAGCAGCTACATTGCTATTATTTTTCCTTAACTCGGCCCTCTTCCTGGGAACAATGAGTTGTTCTGACAAACCCAATTGACAGTGCAGTCAAAGCTTCCTGTATCATAGTGCCTGTTCTGGATAAGTGTGCACCACAGTACCCCTTCAGCTCCCACATCCATTGACAAATGGAGGAATATTTTGCAGGTCAAACTATTTGCATAAAGCAGCTCCATCCCCCATTTTTATCCTAACATAAACACACTTTGCAAAGGATAGCTGGAAAACTTACAGTTCAATTCAATTGACATATATGACACCCATACCTGTATCAGAGCTGACCCTCCCCCCCTCCCCCCAGAAAAGAACAAGAATTTTCCACCGTTCTAGGCAGACAGAAGAAAAACGAAATCCCACGTATCCCAGTTAATTTTGACGTGGACACTTAAAGCAGGGGTGCAGAACCTCAATACTGGGGGCCAAACTAGGCCCTCTGGGGATTCCAATCTGGCCCTTGGGGGATTCCTCAAAAGGCACCCCCTTCCCCTAGCCCCACCTCCTTATCCTAACCACTAATTTGTGGTGGTTTTCCAGATTTGTGTGGTTTTCCTCCCATAGTAAAGGGTTGAAATTGGAGTCCTGTGACGGCAGGGGGTTGGACCTGATGGCCTTCATGGCCCCTTCCAACTCGACTATTCTATAATTCTATGAAATGCTTCTCCTAAGGATGAGGCACCAGTGGGCATAGCTTTAAGCTAAAATCTGCTGGCATCTGGGGGGTGGGGTGTCTGACCCTCCTCTTTTTGCCTTCTGCCCTGCCCGCCAATGGAATACAGCTCCCACGAGCTTCCCTGAAATGGAATTCAGGCCTCAGTCTGAAAGAAGTTCTGCACTCCAACTCAAAGGCTGACATGTGGACGGTGGCAGGAGCGGCTGCGTGATGGATATGTGACAGAAGCTGACACTGCTGCAAAAGAAACTGTGAAAAAAGAAATCTCTCGGCCACAGAGAAGCAACATGGGGATAAGAGCTGCGAGCACTGCTTTGCCTAGAAGAAGAATAAAGCCATTAAACATGGAGGCATTGAAACACTCTTGACCAGAGTCAGCATGTGACTGTAACTAAAAAAGAGAAAATAAAAAGAGCACATGACACAAAGAAATTAGCACTGAAACAACATTTCACAAAAAAAGTGCTGAATTCTCAAAGTCTAAATGTGAAATTTTACTTTAGAGGGCCACTTTTTGTGGGAAAAAAGGAAACTTGGCTCTTGTTAATAAATATTTAAGGTATGGTATTAAATGCTAAGAACACCAGACTATTTATAATGTATACAATAATTTGTATATCATGTTTTACAGGGAAATGGGTGTTTTCACAGGATGATCTGGATCTAGATAGATCTTTTGGCCTAATCAATCTCACAGAATTGTGGGAATACAAAGGAGGGGTTAAAATGCAGGATAATATGTCATACAGAAATGTGTTGAGTACTTTACAATTACCCTGTTTTCTTCTCTAAAATTGGAGATGGTATTATGTGGGTAGCCCATTAGTGCTGAAGCCCTGAATCTTTCATTTGGAGAACCAAATCTCTAAGAGCCCATCTGTCCAACCACCCTGCTGCCCATGGGCTTTTGCTGAAATAAAGATGCTTGTTCTGATGATTTTAGTTGTATTTGATCCTTGGGGTAACTGGCTTTTTACCCATGTATGATTCACTTCCTGTTGAAACTCCTTGGACCTTTCTACCTGACTCAAACTACATGCCCCCCTCTCCTTTGTCCATATATCCCTTTTACAAATGGTGGTGGGGCTTAGGAGACAGGGCCCTCCAAGAACAGAGAGAAAGAGAAAGACTGACTTTAGAGCAAATTTATTTGGGCTTCTTTTTTGGGGGGTGGGGGCATTGTTCTAGCAGCTTGAGCCCTGGATCTTTTAAGTAGTAGCACTGTTCTTTGTTAAAATCTTTCAACTTTCATGAAATTGCTGCAAGCAATTTTAGTGATAAGGCTATAAATGCTGCTGCTTTGTCTGGATGAATAAATTCACAGGTGGATGTGCCTTGAGATCAGCCTTAGGCAGCAAATACAGGAGCAGGGGTAGTAAGTGGTGATGAAGTTCTGGAGGACAGAACCACATGCCCTGTGCCTTGACTCCTCTAAGTCAGCCTGTTGCCCACAGGCTTGGCAAAGGACACTCTACTGTCACCACTGCAGAAATAAGATTAAGTTGCTAGACTGGTCAGCTACTGTTCACCAAATGGAAGGAAGACCATCTTGTCCTTCACCTCTGTCGGCAAAATGTCTTGCACCAGGCCCACTGGGGAATCCTAATTCAGCTCATCTGCAGTAGACATTCAGACGAACTCAGGACAACATAGAAAGGGGCTGAAGGCAAACACACCGGTTGCAAACAGCTTTGTGAACAAACACTGGACAAAAGGAACAAACTTTGGAGCAGCACATAATCGCACCATTCATCTGGAGGAGGAGAAAGATGAACATATTAAACTGGAGGACACTGTGACATCTGTGCAAAGGACAACACAGGTGAAGGACACAATTAAGGTGTTTCGTTTTGTTTTCAAAGAGGAAGATAAGTAGCAGGCTGGCTGGTGTCTGAGCAACTGCCTGGACAACGTGAAAGCAACACAGGATTAAATAATTGGCAGTGTGTGACGGCCACAAAAGCCCAGTATGCTAGCAAGGTGGAAGAGGCATCATGGTATAAGTTACAGGAAAAAGCGACAGTGAACCACCCTAGAAGGGCTTTCCTACCAACCCTGGTACCTGTGGCAGTTATCAAGGAGTAGGACTTAGAGGAATGTCCTTTCACGACACCGTGGATCTCCACCTGGTAGGTTGTGCCAGGAGCCAGTCCAGTGATGTATGCAGTGGAAGCATTTCCAGGCACTACTAGCTCCCCTTCTTCTCCATTCCTTATGTTTCGGTAGCGGATAACAACACTGTCTGAGACCCCCCTCACGCCATTCAAGGAAACCTCAATGCCATCTGAGAAGCTGGCCACCACTCTTGGTTTGGGATGCTCTGGTCGGAAATATCCATCTGAGTAGACACTGTCTGCTTCCCCTATTGGGATTTCCCTTTTTGGAAAAGAATGGTTAGTCTCTTTAATAAGACGTTCCTCGACTCTTACTTGGATCTCCTTTGGCTTCCGGTAAATTAGGTAGATATATATGTCCCTGGCCACACTCTCTATGGTCCGATTGCCCTGGAGAGGGAAGTTGGTGGCACGGAGGTAGCTCTCCAGGCGTTCAAGGAGGGACCCTTTGAATGGGGAAAGCTTATCTGAAATGTTCTGTGTCACTTTCTTCAGGAAGAGCTCCTTGGACAAAGAGGTGGTGTTGAATGGAGTGTGGCCTGGGCGTGGCTTTGTGCCTGGCTTCCTGGCTTCAGGCTCAGAAGACGGGGAGAGGGGAGCAGTGCTTGGCTTCCTGGCTTTAGGCTCAGAAGATGGGGAGAGGGGAGCAGTGCCTGGCTTCCTGGCTTCAGGCTCAGAAGATGGGGAGAGGGGAACAGTGCCTGGCTTCCTGGCTTCACGCCCAGTGGATGGAAAGAGAGGGGTAGAGCCTGGCTTCCTGGCTTCAGGCCTTAGATGGGAAGAAGGGGACGGTGTTGAGTAATGCTTGACGGGTTGGCTCGGAGCAGGTGCTGGTGGGATCAAAAATGGAGGTGGTTATATCAAAGGACTGAATGGAAATTAGTAGTGGAGGCATCATTTGTGGGAAGTAGTACCAACTGGAGTGGTAGAGCCCCACTTGGTCTAACTTCCCAGTTACCCCATCCTTTCCAAACAGGCCTGTGTTGGAATTGGCACCTCACAAACAGGAGAACACTCAATATTTTGTGTTTTCTCATCAGCTGTAATAAAAGAGATAGCTTTAGTCTGAACCTTCCTCATACAGCTTCCTGTTGGCCCCTCCGCCTACATGCCTTCAGAGACCTGTGAGCTATAAAGAAAAGGAATGAATTAAGTGGGGAGATCACATCTTGAGACCACAAACTGGTGCAGCTGTAGAAATGAAGAAATGAAATAAAGCTTGGGTAGAAAGAAGAGAAAATAGTTATGGTGATGGACCTGGGGCAACAAGTGTGGGGAATCTCTTACTCTTCTTCCAGTGACCCGTTCTTCTGTACAGGAACCAAACAGACATTGCAATGGAATCCAGGCCAACTGCTGGGGGTCCCACCGTAAAGAATACTAGCTACTCTGGTTTTGGGAAGTGCTGGAAAATAATTTGAAGGGAGCCCCTGCTCAACCCTCTCATAGAACTACAATGGCCAAATACCACTGTGAGAAGCCCTGATACAAGAGTCAAACACAATCAGGATCCTTCTCTTTTGTTAACAAATCTAATTAGACAACTTCACTCTGATGCTTTGAAAACTGCAGAAGTGAGATTAAAGGGGGAAAAAACTTCTAATTTTCTAATTCAAAAGATTTCTGGTTAGACTGTCATTTGAAGCCTCTGAAACACTTAACAACATTCCCTTTCTTCCCACACTGACCCCTAAATCTAAATCATCCCACTCTCTTCGCCAAATCTGTTATTCCTCCAGGGGGAGAAATACACAGACAGCTGCTTGATTATCATACAGAACTACAGCCACTCCTCACATATTCAGCTACTAGTTTACAACAGGAACAACAAAAAATGCAGAAATTTGCCTTCTTTGTCACTTCTGGGGTTCCACTTCTGCCAGATCCTTAGTCCATCAAGCCCGGCATTCTGTTCTGTTCATGGCCAACCAAAGGCCTCTAAAAGGCTGACAAGCAAACTTTTTTCTGCTCCCTGTCCCCCTAGAGTGGCATGAGATATGAGACAATTCCCAGAGCCAAATGTCAGGCCAGTGCCCTACCGGTAGTGCTGACGATGACGCTGGTGGCTCGGCTGCTCTCGCCGCTCTGGCGGGCAATCAAGGTGATGCGGTACCGCGTATTGGGCTCCAGCTCTTCCAGTCTGACGTGTTCAGGTGCCGCTGGCAGCTCTATGCGTTTTGTAGCATGGGCGGGACGGGCAGAACCTAGAGGTACGTAGCTGAGGATGTAGCCATCAGGATGAGAGGTGGGTGGTTCCCACTGCAAGGTCAGTGTGTTTTCTGTCACCTGTGATGATCGCAGGCCACGGGGAGGAGCCACTCCTGGGAAAAGAATGAGACACAGATAGGGCATGAGAAATTAAAATGGAAGGTAGAGGAGGATGGTAAAAATAGAAGATGGGTTTGTGCAGAACGAAGAATGAAGGCAGCCAGAAGAGTAAGGTGGAATGGAGCTAGAGTGCTTTAAAAGTTAGGACTAGAACATTAATGCACTGAGGTAGAATATGCATAGGGTGGTTAGATATTTAATGCAGGAGAAAGTGGCACAGAGTGCCTTGGATGGTAGAGGAGAGAGGATATAATTCTAAATGTAAACTGTTAATTACATAAATAAGGAAAGTGAACCAATTTATCTAATGACAAATCAATATAATTCCAAAGAACAGTACTCCTTAAGAGATCTGACATGTAGTGACTTATGGGCAATGTTCATTCTTCAGTCAGATCAGAACATTATTAAGTTCAGTTTGCATTTATCCAAATGTTATGCATGCCTGTAGGAATGGATGGGTTTGGATTACCTGCCAAAATAATCAGGAACTACTAGTTTGCCATTTGTTTTCAATTTTCTCTCATGCTACTTAATTATCTATATAGTTTTATCAATACATTTATCTCTCTATATAGTTATCTATATATTAGCTATAGATAATAAATTCCTTGAGGCAGGGACTTACTGTCTTCTCTACCATAAAAGGGAAGCATTTGTAATTACATGCCATCAAGTCATCTATGACTTATAGTGACTCTGTCTATGAATGCCTGCCAAAATGTCCTGCCCTTCACAGCCTTTCTTGGCTCTTACATACTCAAGATGGTGGCTTCCTTTATGGAATTGATTCATCTCTTTCTTGGTCCTCCTCCTCCTCTTCTTCTGCCTTCAACTTTCCTTACCATGATTGTCTTCTCATGATGCACCTGAAGTAGGATAGCCTAAAATGTTGTCATTTTTGCTTCTCAGGCATGTTCTGGCTTGATTTGATCTAGGACCCACTTGTTCATCTTTCTCTCAGTGCGAGGTATTCACAGAGCTATCCTCTAGCATCATGTTCTGAACACTTCCATTTCTTCCTGTCAGCTTTCCTCACTGTTCAGCTTTCACATCCATACATAGTGATTGGGAACAGAATAGTGTGAATGATCTTGGCCTTGGCCTCCAAGGAAACAGCCATGCATTTGATTATGTTTCCTTGTTGTTGTTGTTAGTCGCGAAGCCGTGTCCGACCCATCGCGACCCCATGGACAGCATTCCTCCAGGTTCCCTGTCCTCCACCATCCCCCAGAGTCCACTTACACTCACACCAACTGCTTCAGTGACTCCATCCAGCCACCTCATCCTCTGCTGTCCTCTTCTTTTTTGCCATCTATTGTTCCCAGCATTAGGCTCTTCTGCAGGGCATCCTTCCTTCTCATTAGGTGGCCAAAGTATTTGAGTTTCATCTTCACTATCTGGCCTTCTAAAGAGCAGTCAGGGTTGATCTCCTCTAGGACTGACTGGTTTGATCACCTTGCAGTCCAAGGGACTCGCAGGAGTCTCCTCCAGCACCACAATTCAAAGGCCTCAATCCTTTGGCACTCAGCCTTCCTTATGGTCCAGCTTTCACAGCCATACATTGCAACTGGGAAAACCATAGCCTTGACTATACGCACTTTCGTTGGCAGGGTGATGTCTCTGCTTTTTAGTATGCTGTCTAGATTTGCCATAGCTTTCCTCCCAAGCAGCAAGCGTCTTTTCATTTCTTGGCTGCAGGCCCCCACTGGAGTCCAGGAAAATAAAATCTGTCACTACCTCCATTTCTTCCCCATCTATTTGCCAGGAAGTGAGAGGACCGGATGCCATGATCTTAGTTTTCTTAATGTTGAGTTTCAAGCCAAATTTTGCACTCTCCTCCTTCACCCGCATCAAGAGGCTCTTTAGTTTCTCTTCACTTTCTGCCATGAGAGTGGTATCATCTGCATATCTGAGGTTGTTGATATTTCTCCCAGCAATCTTAATTCCAACTGGTGATTCATCTAGCCCCACCTTTCTCATGATGTGCTCTGCATATAAGATAAATAGGCAGGGCGACCGTATACAGCCTTGCCAAACTCCTTTCTCAATTTTGAACCAATCAGTGGTTTCGTGTCCAGTTCTCACTGTTGCTTCTTGACCCGCATATAGGTTTCTCAAGAAACAAATAAGATGGTCTGGTACTCCCATCCCTTTAAGAACTTGCCACAATTTGTTGTGATCCACACAATCAAAGGCTTTAGCATAGTCAATGAAGCAGAAGTAGATGTTTTTCTGGAACTCCCTAGCTTTCTCCATGATCCAGCGTATGTTGGCAATTTGATCTCTAGTACCTCTCCCTCTTCGAAATCCTGCCTGTACTTCTGGTAGTTCTCGGTCCACATACTGCTGGAGCCTAGCTTGTACGATTTTGAGCACAACTTTGCTAGCATGTGAAATGAGTGCAATGGTGCGGTAGTTTGAACATTCTTTGGCATTGCCCTTCTTTGGGATCAGAATGTAAACTGACCTTTTCCAATCCTGTGGCCACTGTTGAGTTTTCCACGTTTGCTGGCATATTGAGTGTAGCCCTTTTACTGCATTGTCTTTAAGATTTTGAATAGCTCAGCTGGAATACTGTCACCTCCACTAGCTTTGTTGTTGCTCAGACTTCCTAAGGCCCATTTGACTTCACATTCCAGGATGTTTGGCTCGAGGTTAGTGACCAGTCCATCGTGGTTATCAGGGATGTGAAGCTCTTTCTTGTACAGTTCCTCTGTGTAATCTTGCCATCTCTTAATCTCTTCTGCCTCTGTTAGGTCCCTGCCATTTTGGGCCTTTATCATGCCCATCTTTGCATGAAACATTCCCTTCATATCTCCAATTTTTTTGAAGAGATCTATGATCCTCCCTATTCAATTGTTTTCTTCTATTTCTTTGCACTGTTCATTTAAGAAGGCATTCTTATCTCTTCTAGATATTCCCTGGAATTCTGCATTCAATTGGGTGTAGTTACTGGTCCAGTTTTCATGCTCCTGGAAAGGAAATAAGCCATAGTGGCTTATTGCCTCCCTGCTCTGCTACACATTCTACAGAGGTCAGTACAATTACTCTCAGTAGTGTGTCTTCTTGTGTTATGCACACCCAGGCAGGGTGGCTTGTTGCCTTGGCTATAGTTGTACGTGTCTAGCTAACCATGACTGGATGGGTTTACACAACATGACAAGCTGTGCTGCCAAGGGTAATTATGCAAAAGCCGGGCACATTGGGTTATTTCTCATATGTGATCATGCAAAACTTGTCACTGAGTGATATGGTCCTGTTTCTGACAGCAAGTTACTCTGTATTCAGGTTTAAAGCAATCCTCTGCCTATGGAAACAGGAAGCAGGAAGAGAATTGGGCAACACACAGTCAACAAGCAGTTAGTGCCCACTACAGGTAGAATCAGAGAAAAAGAGAAACATGCACTTGCTCCTCCAGGCTACATACGTGTACGCACGGTCTGGGTGACAGGGGGTCCATAACGCTGCCCCTTTTCTGCTCGAATAGTGACTCTGTATTCCTCTCCTGGTTTCAGCCCTGTGCGTTTGAAGACTGTATCGGTGCCAGACAAGCGTACAGATTCACCTTCCTGACGATCCTGCTGCAAGTTGGGAGGGAAAAGGTATATAAAGGATCAGCATGGTGCAAGCTTTCCTGTCACCTCCTCACAGCTGACATCTTGGCTGGTAACACAACAACTCACAGCCAAGGGTCAAGTACAAGCTGAGTTTGGGTTGTTGCTATAATGTAGGGGTTTGTGCTATCTGAACCCAGGCAAGAAACCATGGTAAAAAGCCCACAGTTCACAACCCAACAGCCAACTGTGCGTTATCTTTATGGGTTTTTTCCTTTGTGGTTAACAAGCCATAACTTGCTGGCACAAGTGAGTTCAGGCAACACAATAATCCACATTTCAACAACAACTCCTGTTCAACCAACACTCAACACATGACTTGTTATCTGAGATCTGAGCCCAGTTACACTCTGAATCTCATTTTTAATCTGAGCTTACTTTTTTCACAGTAGTAGGGAAAAAAATAATTTTCTCTAGCAACAATATATTGTTCCCTGCTCTAGTGCATAGAAATGCATGGTAGCTTGATCTTGGATAAGCAAGGAAGACCCATTTGCTTTACCCATTCGCTTTAGTGCTTCATCGATACAGATGAGCATAGCTACCTGAATTTTTGGACTGTCCTTGTGGCTTTGGCTATGGGGACTATCATGATGGGCCTTTGCACTTCCAAATTTACTATTTCATTATTGGACAGGATGCTAGATTAGATGGACCTTTGGTCTAATCCAGTGGGGCTCTTCTTACGTTCTTAATGTAACACAAAACAGGTTCCTTCTTCCTCGTGTCATCCACTAGCCCCAGCATGCATTGTGCTAGTCAAATGAATAAGGCAGGATCTCTTTCCCCTCTTCTTACCACCCGTAATACACACAGACCACAGGTACCATCCCCACAAACTAACAATACCGTATTCCAAAGTATAGCAAGTTACCATGGGTATCACGTGGATCTCATATGCATCCACAGAAACATCTGGGCGGTTCCACTCCAAGTGGAAAGATGTTTCATCTCGATTTGCCACACGAACACCAATAGATGGAATCTCTGATTAGGTTGAAGGAGAACAGAACAAAAAAAAATAGGGCATTTCTCCATTACTGTTCTCATACCTATCCTCCCCAAAGCCTTGCCCAACACATATTGCTGGCCCAACATATTTTGCAGCCTGAGGTGGAGTAGCAAACTGCACCCATCCAACTGCCCAAGGACTCTGGCTTCTGAGGCAGCTCTCCTTTCAAGTGCCTCTTCTCCGCCCTAGTTGTAAACACGCAAGGACATCCAAGTAAATAATTACATTTGCTGCCTTTTCAGGAAACTGCAAGTGAAGTGTGGCCACTTCACTCGGCATAATGGTAGGTTCGGGCCCACTCCCCTTCCTCCTCCCAACAACAGCCCTGTGAGGTGGGCTGGGCTGACGGTCTGCGACTGGCTCAAGGCCACGCCGTGAGCTGCGCGGCTCGGCGAGTGCTACAGCCTGGGCCGCCTCAGTCCCAGTCCTGCTCTCTCACTCCCATACACCACACGGTGCACTCCTGCTCTCTGGCTGCCAAGCAGGCACGCGATAGCATCGGAGCGCAGCACTAGCGAGCGGCTGCCGCCTGTTCGCGACGCACAAGGCCGGCCGCCTGCCTGCCTGCCTGCCTGCCTCCTCCGGCGCGGCGGTGGGGCTGGCCGGAGGCGACGGGCTGCCCCAACATCCAAGCGGCTCTTGCCTACCCGTGGAGCAGTCCTCTCCGGAGTAGCCGTCGTGGCACACGCACACGCCGTTCTCGCACCTCCCGTGGCCGCTGCAGTCCGCCGGGCACGCTAGCTGCCCGCAGTCCGGCCCGGTGTACCCGTCGTGGCAGGCGCACACGCCGCCCTTCAGGCAGCGCCCCCTCTGGCTGCAGTCGCCGGGGCAGGCCCTGGTCCCACACGCCGGGCCCGTGAAGCCCGGCTCGCACACGCAGCGTCCGCTGAGGCACTCGCCGCGTCGGTTGCAGTTGCTGGGGCACGCGCGGGCCCCGCAGTCGGCGCCGCTGTACCCGGGGTTGCACACGCAGCGCCCCGCCACGCACTGCCCGTGGCCCCGGCAGTCCCCGGGGCAGGCTGGCTCGGAGCACGACGGGCCGACGTAGCCCTGGAAGCAGGTGCACCGCCCGTCCACGCAGCGGCCCTGGTCATTGCAGTCGTCCGGGCAGGAAGGCGGCTCCTCGCAGCGGGTCCCGGCGTAGCCGGGGCGGCACTGGCAGCGCCCGCTCACGCACTGGCCGCGCTCCGGGCCGCCGCACCCGCCGGGGCAGAGGGGCTCGGCGCAGGTGGGGCCGCCCCAGCCGGCCTCGCATTCGCACAGGCAGCGGGACAGGTCGAAGGAGCCGTGGTGCGAGCACAGCGTGCGGACGTCTGTCTGACCTGGGGAGGGCGCGGGAGCATGCGGGTGGAGAAGGGGGGGGGGGAGAGAGAAGAGCTCGGTGGTCACCGGAACAACTGACAGTGTTTTCTTTTTGCCACACGTACGCCTTCCCCAAGGATCTCACGGTGCTCTCCCACGCCTGTTTCAATTCTCACGATAGCCTGGTTACCCGCAGAAGAGGGACGGACCCCAAAATCACCCACTGGCTGAAGTGGAATTAGAACATGGGTCTTTCTGTTCCTAGGTCGACCCTTGGATTCTTATCTTCCTCCTGACAAAATGGCTGAGAGTTTCTTCCTCCCCCATTCCCCTTCTTCCTCCCCACTCCCATATACACAGGTCTTTTTCTTGCATTAGCTATGTATGGGGTAGTCATTGACTAGAAAACAGGCCCCACCCCATGAATCCCATCCCCTTATTGTATCCCTCTTTCCTTTCATATTTGTTTTGGAAAGTAGGACATAGATTTGCCACCCTCACAGGGCAAAGTGTTCTAAATGACAGACAGCAGTCCTCTGTTTGAAGTCATCTTCGATTTGAAGGGCTGTCCGCTCTAAATCCAGTTGAAACATAAAGGACCATAAGAAGGAACTTCGAACCATCAGGCTGGTTCATCAACCATGAGCATCTGGATGGAAGCTGGGTACACACATCACCTGCTCGTGGTCTTCCCCATTATGGTGAGAAATAATGTATTTCTATTTAAATTATAATACTTATTTCCAAATTTGCACCTGCACATTTAAATTCACGTATGCAAATATGCAGTGCAGCATGCACATTTGCCCTTGGCTGCAGTGATGCATTTCTTCATTTTTGGCAATGTGTTAGTGGCCACGCTAGTCATAATATCTATCTGTGCCACATTCTTCTTCCTCCAGGGCCTTACCTGTACTGGCCTGTGTGCTGGGGCCAGCAGGGCAGCAGCCTCCCCCCGCTTGGCAGGTGTCCCGCAGCATCCGCACCTCATTCTCGAGCGCCTGCAGCCGTCTCAAGAGGTTCTGGGTGTCCTCAATGCCAGGTGGGCACCCACAGGCCTGAGGGGGCAGGTTGATGCGGTGGGTGAAAACCACATGCTCCTGGTCAGGCCCTTCCAGGGTGTGCTCATACAGGCCCCCTCCTCTGGAGGAGCTGGGAGGGCCCAAAGCTTCTTGTGGAGGAGAAGAAGCACCCTCAATTTCTGCGTCCCCTTCTGCCCGTTTTATAGTATAGACATGAGAGAAGACTGTTGCATTTGAGCGGATGGCAGGATGGAACACGTGTGCCTGCCATGAAACCTCCAGCCAGAAGATGAACAAGATAAAGGGAATGGCTCTTGCTGGCCTTCCCATGGTGTGTACCTGTGAGGGAACAGATGAAAGAGAAGGAGAAAGGAATCAGTTCTGCAGAGGGTCATCGCCTAACATGTGGTAGAAATGAACCGGGAAGCAACATGTGGAAGAAACGGACTGATGAAAGACCTCCCTCATGAAGCTGCCTCCATCCCATTCTAGTAGGCTGTTCAAAGGGGATTGAGAGGTGAAACAGGGCTGCATGTAGCTTGGTTTCTATGCTCCATGGGCAGGAGAGGACAAGCTTTGACTTGGGACCAAGCTACAGGAAAGACTGCATTCTCCCAGGTCAGCCTGCTCAGGTTTTAAGATCTTTGGGGGAAGTGCTTTTTTTTTGTTGTCCTGCCACCAGCAGAGGTACATCAGGAGAAGGCCTTCCCAGATGCCAAAATTCCCTGTTGAGGGAGTTAAGGGTGGGACCCTCTCTCTGCTGTCCTCCCATTGACAGGCAAACATGTTTTTATTCAAGTAGGCCTTTGGTTTGTAAAATAGTCTGTTCCTGAAGCATGTTTTAATTGGTTGGCTGCTGTTTATTGCTCTTGTGTTCTGGAATGATTTGTTTTTATGTTGTGTTTTATGTTGTGTTTAATATCCATGTTTTATGATGGATAGCCAGGTTAAGCATTAATTTTGGTGGGAAGATGGAATATAAATTAAATAAATATTTTTAAAAATAACAACAACAGGAAAAACATGTTCTTACCTGTAACAAGTACCAGCCCAAAGATGCTGTCTCTGATAAATATGAAAAATTGACAAGTGTGTATGTCAGGTATAGCCAATTTCATGTGTGTTAATAGATGTAAAAATCTCACTTATATACACATGTGCACAAGCACTATATCTTAACACATTGTGGATAAAGCCAATAAAAGAGTTGGATTTCAATCCCACTCTTGCAATGCCTCACCACTGGATAAAAGAGCCACCGAGGGAATTATTAAACACTATGTGGATATCGCCTATCACACTGATGTGGACAGCAGGAATGCAAACAGAGGCCTGCAAATGGGGATCCCAGAGTCCTCGCCAAAACTAGCTGGTTGGGAAACAGCAATAGTGGTGGAAAAACAACCCGCAGCAGTCGCCTGCTCTGAAATGCAGCTGGAGATGGTCTCAGAATCAGTTAGGGAGCAGGAAGCTAGCTGGGAAGGGGAAATGTGATTAGATAAAAGCAGGCCAGGACAGACAAAGGGAATGCAAACATCTCCTTAGAACTTCCTTTCAAGAATAGCTATTCAGCTGCAAATTGAGCTGCCTCCAGAGGCTGTGGGCTCTCCTCACTTAGCTCTACTTCCCATGGGACAAGAGCCCTATGTGACTATAAATGGCATGTGGGAATGTGCATGGATCCTCTGCATCAGGCCTGCATAAACAAGCCAAGCACAGCACATCAGTTGACTCCTAAGTCTGAAGAGCCCCTGCTAGAAATCCTGGGAGTGGGACAGAAACAGCTCAGCCATCTAGCACATGTCTGCTGCTTGATGCAGGAAAGCCGAAGCTAAAACATCCCAGCATGCAGCTGTCTGGCCTTCGCCTGAGGACCACACGCAGGGCCGACATCAAAGACAGGCATGCTTTGGCATTCACCAAGGGCCCACACACCGCAGCAGGGTTGCACTGACCAGAGCCCCTTGGACTCGTTCATTCTCGTTAGCACTGGGGCCTGCTTATTCCCCTGCCTGTCTTTTTGGCCCAGACAAGGGCAGTGAGGAAGAAGAACAATAGATGCTGTGGCCAACTTGCTCACTGATTTGCTGCTGGCCAAGCAAATGATAGCAATGATGAGAAAGAGGATGAGGAAGAACAGCAGTTGGTGACTGGCAATGGAGAAGGCACAGGGACTTTGATACATGTGGAAATACAAAAAACCCCGTGGAAATAACTTTCTGATGAGTCCAAAGAATATGCTTTTGAATATAATGCCAAAGACCTTTTAGAGAATATGTCAGAGTTATTTAAATCCATGACAATTGCAGCAAGAATTACAGTTGCTTCTAAATGGAAAACAGCAGATTGAAGATTGAAAAAGAAACATAGAAATATAGAAACAAAGCGAGTCAGAAGGGGTTTCCCAGGCCATCTAGTCTGACTCCCAGCTCCAGTTGGTTCCGTTCATGTAACCCCCAACATGTGGTTGTCTAATCTTTCCTTGAACACCTTCACTGATAGGGCCTCAACCACCTCCCTTGGAAGCCCGTTTCGTATCCTGGGGGTCCTAACCTTCAAGAAGTACTTCCTGACATCCAGCCTGTAGCCTGGTTCCTTGAGCTTTTGCCCCATTGGAACATGTCCTGCAGGGAAGAACAGATCACAACCCTCCTCCACATGACATCCCCTCACATACCTATATGCCACTAAAAGATCCCCTTGGAAAGAGCAGTTCCCTCCATCTCTCCTCTTATGTCACCTCTCCCAACCTGGCTACCATCCTTGTGACCCTGTGACAAATACTGTGACAAAACTAAAATTAAATGCAGTGGACTAACAGTCTTATACAAAAAGCTCAAAGGGGTAAGCAGGTAAGAGAGAATTTCTGCAGAGCTTCAATTCAGTAGTTAAGTTTTATGGCACTTCTGGCTAAAGAGTTATCAGATGTTAACCATCCATCACGGTCAACATCTGAAGCCCTCCAAGGGAGGTTCGGTCGTAGCAACGAAGGCCTTTCAGTGGGGATCTCCAGCTTTGAACACCTCTGTACTGAGGTCTGGCTGGTGCCATCGTTGCTCTCCTTTGGTCCCAGGGAAAGACTTTTATCTAATTCCACTCCCCAGCATTGGGCAGCATATGAAATGGCGCTTTAGTTTCTGAAAGGGTTTAGATAGTTCTATTGCAATTTTGTTTACTTGTTTCTAAACAGGTTCAAATGTCTGCATTTGCTCATTTTATACCATGTTTCTGTTGTGCTGTGAACTGCCCCAAGTGCTTTGGCAATAAATGACTGAATGAGAATTCCAGGTATGATGAATTCCAGGTATGAATTCCAGGTATTCCGGGTATAGGCCATGTACCCTACCCTACAAAACAGTTCTCTGCTTGAAGAACTGTTTGGTCCAAGTCTGAATTAAGGTAAAGAGCCCTGTGGAGGAAGAGCAGGGCACTGAAGTCGGCCACCAGCAGTCAGCACCTGGACAGCAGAGTGCACAGGCCTCTACAAGTCGTTATTTGTTTTTCTGCGCCAGACGAAGACCTTTTTATTTAAGCGTCATTTTAATTGTTAATATTATTTGCTTATTTTATCTGGCTAGGGCGACTTATTTTATATTGTTATTTCTTGTATTTTAACTTTATGTTGTGAGCCGCCCCGAGGCTTCGGCGAATGGGGCGGCATAGAAATGTTTTAATAAATAAATACACAGGTGATCCAGTCTCCACGTTCTTTACGATGATAAGTTGCACATTACCTACTTAAAGTGTATTATTATCTTTAAGTATATAAACATAATTATATCTAATATAATTAGGTACATATTACCTACTTAAAGTAGAGTAACTGTTTCTGAAGTTGCAGCCATATATTTATATTTGCATATGCAACATTTATGCTAATCTGTCTCCTCTTTCGTTCTATGTAGTAGTGACATGAAAGAGGCCACTCTAAGCTAAGGGCTGCAAAGATGATGCCGGACAAACCTGCCTGGCAAGGCAATACCATAACCTAGATGTAGCCTCTCTCCCTGTCACATCTCTGCTCCGACACTGACCAAACCTTATACAATTTCTTTGTATACTAACATTGACCTCTGTTCTCTGAGCACTGTTGCTTATTGGCCCAAAATGGCACCACCCACTCACAAGAGGAAGGTATGAGCAGACCTGAGGAACCCCAGAGTTTGCAGAAGTACAATTTTGGGCAAAACCCCTCAGAGCAAGTGGTAGGATCCCCTCAAATGGCCTAATAAGGGATGGTAGCAGCTCGGTGAGCACAAAATGCCAATCACTATGGTGTGAAAGGGGTAATGGGAAACCAGGTGAGAAGGAAAATGGGATGCAAGCGTCCTCAGTCTGAAGGGGGGAGGATGCTGCAGTTTCTCATCAGCACTGAGTGCCTGGACAGCAGACTGCCCCACAGGTCACCTGGCCAGTCTCCCCCCACTGCAATCCACAGCAATGCCATCTAAAATAGTGTATAGTCATATGAGTGTGCATGGTCAGATCACATGCAAATCCATACCCTCTTTTACCCTGTAAAGGTGATTCTTTTAGGGAGTGGGGTTATGCCTAATTTCTGGGCCAGCAAAGACCATTCCCCCCAAAATTTTCTGCACAAAACTGTTAATCAACTATCAAGCTGTTCCATCTACTTTTAGTTTTGCAACAGAACGGAGATCTGAGCACTACACAGGGAGGTTTGTTTGTTTTTTGTTTTTTTGGCTATATAAATTCTAAAAGCACTGTGGTATAGCAAAATATTGCAGATGCACAAGTCAGAAAGCATTGTCTTTTGCTTTCACAATTACATGCCACATTGTCCCTGCTCCAAAAAAACAAACAAACCCCACCAAAACTGTTAAACATGCAAGAAAATCTGGAGGGTCACAACCTCATCTAAAAAACCAGTAAAAGACTGCAAGTGGAGAATGATGAGCACATGATAAATGCCTTACATAGAAATTCCCTTTGACTCTGCAGGATGGCGGCCAGTCCAAATACAGAGCTAGGTGGACAAGTGATCTGGTTCAACATATGGTAGTTTCCCATGCCTACTAGGGAGTTGTGGCTTGATGGAGAAGAGAAAGACCCATTCACTTTTAATTTAATTTAATTTAATTTAATTTAATTAATTTAATTTAATTTAATTTGGGGTCCCCTTAGAGTTGCTACCTGCATTTTTTCCTAGAAAGGCTTCTGTGCCTTTAACAATGATATCACAAGAATAAATTCAGCAGCTGAAGCTTTCTCCATGGCTGCATTTCTGTGCCAGGGAAAAAATAAAAAGCTTAATCAGTAGAATTTCTGCCTGTTGTGCAGCTGTTGAGCAGCCCTGCCAAGTTGGGGAGGGGGTGGAT